CCAGGTCCACCTTCTCCTTCTCTGCCAGCTTGGCCAGGACCCGAGCCACCTGCAGGGGACCCAAGCGTTCTGCTTCTGCCGGGGGCACCTCCACATGGATACCTCGGTCTGCACCCATGGCAAGGGCGGTACGAATAGTCTCCTGCCAAGGACAGAGGAGCCTGACTTGGCTACTATCCCCAGAGGGACCCAGGAATCTGGACCCCATCCCCTCCTCCCTCAGACCCAGGAATCTAGCTTCCATCCCCTCCTCCCTCAGACCCAGAAGTCCAGGCCCCCAGCCCCTCCTCCCTCAGACCCAGGAGTCTGGCCCCCATCCCCTCCTCCCTCAGACCCAGAAGTCCAGGCCCCCATCCACTCCTCCCTCAGACCCAGGAGTCTGGCCCCCATCCCCTCCTCCCTCAGACCCAGAAGTCCAGGCCCCCATCCCCTCCTCCCTCAGACCCAGGAGTCTGGCCCCCATCCCCTCCTCCCTCAGACCCAGGAGTCCAGGCCCTCAGACCCTCCTCCCTCAGACCCAGGAGTCCAGGCCCTCAGCCCCTCCTCCCTCAGACCCAGGAGTCTGGCCCCCATCCCCTCCTCCCTCAGACCCAGGAGACCAGGCCCTCCCCAGACTCTGAGCACCTGGCACTGTGCAGGCCCACAGCCCCTCCTCCCTCAGACCCAGGAGACCAGGCCCTCCCCAGACTCAGCACCTGGCACTGTGCAGGCCCACAGCTGACGGCGATGACCTCCTTCAACAGCTTCTTCTCCTTGAGCCGCACAGCCTCCTCCACTGCAATCTCGCAGAAGGGGTTCATGGAGTGCTTCACACCATCCGTGACCACACCCGTCCTATCAGGCTTCACTCGGATCTGCTCAGCAGGAGGGCAGGAGGCGGGGTCAGGAGGAAACAGGCCAGAAGGTGGGGGCCTCCGTGCCATCTCTCTCCCAGGTTAGAAGGGGACAACAGTCTGGAAAGGGGCAGGGCCTTGTCCAGGGTCACACAGCTTCAGGGACAAGCTGGGTTAGAGCTTGTAGGCAGGGGCAGGTCACCCTCTCTCCTCCTCTCATCCAGCCATTCCTGGGTACCAGGGACATCTGACATGATCATCCCTACTCTGTCACTGCTCCTTATCAGGCCTGAAAGAGTGGTTCTCAAATTTACAGTATTTACGGTTACCCAGAGTGAGAGGTGCATTTTTCCATATCCCCAAGTGTATATAAAGACATAACACACTGATAAATAAATACAAATGAGGAGAAGAAAAGGAAAAATCAGTTAGGTAGACAGTAAAGCCTGGTACTCGGAGAAGCAGCCTGCCTGAAAAATCATAGCTACAGGCAACAGTAGAGCAGCCTGGAGAAAACTCAGGCTGCAGCTGCACAGATAAGCAGGCAGGATCCAGCACAGATCCTGCTTTTGTTCTTTGTGTGATTAATGCGCTCCCAGGAAAAGTTCCCTCTCCTTTTCAGGCATATACAAGGTGGGCTCCATGGGAACTTGCAAAGGGATGGGGCGGGGCTTACCTGAAACAAACCCTTGGGCTTGCCTGGAGACACACCCACAACTACATAGATAAGGGAGTTATACAGATAGCTTTACAGATAAGATACTCAAACAGCTGCAGAGATGACAGGAGTTTCTTACAAAAGCTTTTGGATTCAACTGTAAAAACAGCAACCCACTTGGGCTACCCTCCTTTCTTCTTTTACTTATTAAACTTTGGCTCCAAACTCATGCTTTGGGTGGTTCATGCTCTTTAATTCTCTTGGTTGTGAGACAATGAGGTCAGATAACACCTCAGATAACATGACCAGTGACCTTGACCTGTTTCACAAATGCCACTGCAGTATAAGGGTAGGTTCAAGCGATTCTCCTGCCTCAGACTCCCGAGTAGCTGGGATCACAGGTATACCACCACCATGCTTGGCTAATTTTTTTTTTTAGTAGAGAGAGGGTTTCACCACGTTGGCCCGGCTGGTCTTGAACTCCTGACCTCAACTGAACCACTCACCTCGGCCTCCCAAAATGCAGAGAGTACAGGTATGAGCCACCATGCCCAGCCGAGAATCACTAGATTTTGATATAATCCATGGGTTGAAGTTGGGCAGGACAAAGGACAGGCAGCAGAGATAGGAGGGTGGTGCTGGAATAAGGCATGGAATGAGTGAGCCACAGCCTCCTCTGTCAAGACAGGAGGAGCATGTCGCAGTGGCGGAAACACAAGGGGTAAGGGATGGTCCAAGGAGGGACATGGATGGCTGAAGCAGACTATGAACAGGAGGCCGAATCACAAAGGGTCCCAAATGCCAGGCAGAGGGGCTGGGACTCTGGCCTGAGGGTGCTGGGGAGCCACAGGCAAGCTGGGATCAGGAGAAAGCAAGGTCAGTTCTAGGTGCAGAAAGACCCCTACGGCTGGGTAGAGGTGGGCTGAGAGGGAGAGACTAGGAGTCAGGGAGAACCAGCGAGACAATGAGACCAAGGGACTATAGGGCGGGAAGGGTGAGGGGTGGAGAACTGACAGCTTTGGGAGGAGAAGGGAAAGGGATGGGACAGTGCCCAGTTCGAATCTGGTGTTGAGGAAGCTGGCAGGGTCTGAATCATTTATTTGTTCTGAAAAGGACATCAACAGACACATCCAGTGAGTCACGGAGCCCTGGGGCACTTCGAGAGAGGAAGGCAGCACCCCACTGTGGAAAAGACAGGAGCTGATTCAACGCTGCCTTCACGCTTCCCTGAGCACACCAGAGACAGCCATGTGCCAGGCTCTGTGCTGAGTGACGCTGGGACCAGAGCTGAGTCAAACATGGGCCTGCATCGTAGGGGAAACAGATCCAATCCCAGACATGCCAGGCAGGAAAGGCCAGGGCTGGGATAGAGAGAGGAGGCCCAGGGAGCTCTCGGAGTCCAAAGACGTGACAGTAGTGAACAGTCAGAGGCGGGAGGAAACCAAGTGTCGGGTCCCAGGACCCCAAGAGGAATGTGTCTCAAAAGGGCTGAAGGTGACATCCCTGCCATGTGCTGCCAGAGGTGTATTAGGACAGGGGGCATTGAGTGGAGACTGGAGAGCAGTCTAAAGCCAGACTTACCCAGGTTTTGATCCTAACTGCCACTTACTGGCTGGGAGATCTGGCAACTAACAACCTCCACAGGGTTCCGTTTCCTCATCTATCCAATGGGATTAATAATGCAGAGGGTACTGAAAGGACTGAATGAGTCAATCTCTGCAAAGGACCTGGAAGGATGCCTGGCACATAAGTACCTAAATGCTATCTGCTATGATCACTGATGCCTTCATGTCCAATACCCTCTTCCCCAGCCCACTCCCCACACAGGCAGAGGAAGTAGCAGTGTCAACTTTGTGACCCTGGTTTCACCCACCCCGAGGCCTCCAGGGTGCCAGGCCCAGTACTAGGCAATGCTGGGAACACGGAGGTAAGTGCCCAGGATTATGGGAAGGACAGACATGGACGGATAGTCACCATCTTCAGTCCAGTTCAGGCCAAGCATTGAGAGAAACCGGCCTGAGAGACCGTGTCTGATTCACCTCTGCCCACACCAGCTTCCCTCTGGGGACAAGCCAGGCGCTCAGAAGGTGCCCTTCCCACCTCTTTCATGGAGAATGTGAGCTACTCCCCCAGCTCAGTCAGGTTGGCTCTTTGAACTTTCATCTCTAGCAAACACAATTCTCTCTCCCTAGCTAGAGTCTCCTGGCTCACACTGTGCATATGGAGGGTGGAAGGCAGCCTCTGGGGCCCCACCCCACAGTGCCCTGTCTGACTCCCACTATAGAACATTTCGGGTAATAGCCCAATGGGAGGCAATGCATCCCAGTGGGTGAAAGCAGTCAGAGGAACCTGGATAGAACTCTCGGCTCTGCCCTTCTTTAGCTGGGTGACCGCTCTGTGCCTCAGTTTCTCAGTGCGTTAAACAGGGACCATGACTTCTTCCAATGGGTAAGAAATGGAGAAAGCAACTCGCTCTGAACAGTTAACAGAAAGTGAGTCCAGAACCAGGGAAAAGAGAACAGGGCCGTGACCCCGGAGGGATCGGATGTCAGAACTTCAGTCTTTGATCTTTGCCCCTAGGTGTGACTTTGACGTTTGGAGGTTAGAGCGGCAGAGGTCGGAGGTTACAAGAAGACCCCCACCCAGTGTGCGCTCGTAGCCCCGGAAGCACACGGCTGCGGGACTCGGGGATGTGGGAGAAGGGGGCCCGGTCACCTTCACAGCGTAGTCGATGACCCTCTTGACAGCAACAAGCGCGCGCAGCTCCGCCATCTTCCAGCCACAGCCACCTGCGGGTCTAACCCGCACCCTCCGCCGCTCCGTCCAGACGCCCCGCCCCCCTGCCCCTCTCTGCGCCTGCGCGCAGCACGGTCAGCCAATCAACCACTGCAGAGCCCGCCCCCTGACAGAGGACCAATCGAGAAGCCGGAAGGAAGGGCGGTGTAACAAGCAACGCAAACCAATGGGAAGCGGATCTCGGGGAGCCAAGTGGACCGGGAGCGGGAGGGAAAGGCCTGGAGGAGGGGGCGGGGCAGGGAACTAGGGGAAAGGTCGTGCACTGGAGGGAAGCGCGCTCAGAGTGAGGATCCTCCTGGTCTTATAAACGTTTCCCAGTGTCCCAGGGATCTATTCTCTCCCTCCAGATCCCCCACTTCTTCCCGACCTCTCCAAGTCGCGGTGCTCATGTGTCCCACTCCTCTGAGTCCTCTCGTGTCGGTCTCTCCACTCTCCATTCCCGTGTTCCCTGTCCCTTCCATATCCTTATCCTCCCCTGTTCGTGTCTCCACTTCATCTTCATGTGGTCCCCACAGCGTCTCCACAACCTCTCCAAAAGCCCACGTCCCCTCCTGGTCCCTCCCCTCCCCGATGTCCCTGTTCCCATCCCAATCCATGTCACTCGTGTCACCTCGTTCCCTATAGGTTCATGTCCTTGAGTCCTCCCTGAGCCTCTATGCAACCCCGTGCCTGCGTCCCCACGGCCCCCAGAAAAGCACGCGGAACCACGGCGCTAAAAAACAAAAAAAGCCGTTCCTTTATTCTGCCCCAGACAGGCTGCGGTCACAGACACACGGGGAATCCACTGATGGCGTCGGTGCTCTGCATGATGATGTCTGCCAGTAGAAAGCAGACGCCTGGGGGGACGGGAGCGCGGGGCGGGAAGAGGAAGGTGGGCCCTGGGGCGGATGGCCAGGCAGGCCCCGGGGACTGGGGTTTTGGGGCTCCAAGGGGGGTCTCTGCCGGGTCTGTGGGAGTCGGGAGTGTGTTGGGGAGTCCCTGAGAGGTCCCCGGGGTTTCCTGCAAGGCAGCTGGGGAGCCTTCTGGGTAGTCTCCACCCTTTCCCTCTGTCCAGGTTACCCGCGAGAATTGAGAAGGGTAAGGCCAGCCACCCAGAAAAATAGGACCAGGAGAAGACGACGTTGTTCTTCCACGCGTTGTTCACCGTGTAGCCTATCAAGGCAGTCAGCAGCAGCAGTCCTGGGCCCCGCCCAGCCGCCGTGTGAGCTGGGCCAAGTGGGGCTGCGCCCAGGCCTTGCCCATTCAGACCGCCCACTTCTGTCAGACCACGCCTATTCCCTCTCAGCCCCGCCTCTGGCCCTGACCCCTTCCGGCGCCTCCCGCTTCTGAACTCCATCTCGAGCCCCGCCCCCATCTCGCGGCTTCTTCCAGCCCCGCCCCTTGAATCCCAGCCGCATTCCTCAAGCCCCGCCCCTGGTACCCAGGCCCCTCCATTACCCCGGGCCCACCCCTGCCTGCGCGCCTGGGGCGGGCTGCCGTCTCACCGCCGAGGAAGAGGATGGCGATCGTGGTCTGGCCCCGCCGCGACTCGCCCTCGTGGCACCGAATCCATAGTCCCAACACCATGCCCACCACGCCGAAGCACGCCGCCAGCACCATGCACGCCGCTATCACGGCCAGCGTGGCTGAGGAGAGCGGGCGCCTCAGCCCCCGCGGGTACCGCCCCCAGCCGCGACGGCTTCGGCGGCAACCGGAAGCTCTCCTGGCTCCTCCCCCCACCCGGTACTTGGCCTGGAGTCCGGCTTCCCCGACCTGGAGTCAGGCGTTTGGGCCTTGGAGGTCACATCAGGACCTGCGGTTACTGCCGCTACCGGGATGGGAAGGGGTTCGGGGATTAGCCCACAAGCCTGGGGGAGGGGTTCGTGGCTGCCTCGGTCGAGGAGGGACAGCTGCATCTGAGCATGAGGTGGAAGGGGCGGGCGCCTTGCCGTGGGCCCGGTTCTGTGTCCTGAGCCCTGGGGGTCTGAAGTGCCGTCTGACCGGGCGGGCCGAGCCTCCTCACTCTGGCAGGGGATGTTGGAGCAAATGCGGTGGTTGCATTCCTGCCACAGGCCACTGTGGCCCTCGTGTTGGCGAGTCCAGTAGTTGGTGGCCGTGGAGAGCACCATGAGGACGTTGGCCAAGAGGCTGAGCAGAATGCCCCCGCTCTGGAGGCTCCGCTTCACCCCCATGCCGCTAAGGCTGCAGCCGGGGGCCACAAGGGCAGGATGGGCCGAGGCCCTTCCCACCCCAGGCCCCCAGCTTAGGAGCCCGCCTTCTCCCCACTTCTCCCCTAGCACTCCTGCCTGAGAGGCCCCTGCTTCTGGGGACCTGAAGACCCCTCCTTCAGTTCCACGGGTGTCCCAGGCCCCTCCTGGGGGGGGGGCAGGTCCTCAACAACCCTGCCTGGGGACCCACAACCTCCTCCCTTGTTCTCCTTACTGGGGACCCTGAGACCCTCACCACAGGCTTTGCTGTGAGCACCCTGTCTTCCCAGAGACCCTCCCACACAGCAGAATGCCCCTTCAGCCTGTTCAGTACCCTCCCCAGACACCCCTCCACATACACCCACCTAAGTGACTCACACCCAGGGCTCCTTAGACAAACAGAGCCCAGAAAGATGGGGGGAGGGAGGCTGGGTCTCTGTGAGGCAGGGGGTTCCAGAACTCCCTCCCCCAGTGATTGTTTAAAGGGATAATCACTCCCCCACCATCAGTACACATACATCCCAGCAACTCTGAACTGAGTGACAGCTTAGAATCAGACAGCAGCTCGGGGGGCAGCTTGAGGGCCCTTACATGGTAGGCCGAGTCTTTCTTTTATTATTTTTTTTAGAGAGAGTGTCTCTCTCTCCCAGCTGGAGTACAGTGGCATCATTACAGCTCACTGCAGCTTTGAACTCCTGGGTTCAAGGAATCCTCCTGCCTCAGCCTCATGAGTAACTGGGACTACAGGCATGTGCCACCACACCTGGCTAATTTTAAGATTTTTTGTTTGCCGGGCACGGTGGCTCACGCCTATAATCCCAGCAGGCCGAGGCGGGTGGATCACGAGGTCAAGAGATCGAGACCATCTTGGTCAACAAGGTGAAACCCCCATCTCTACTAAAAATACAAAAATTAGCTGGGCATGGTGGTGCATGCCTGTAGTCCCAGCTACTTGGGAGGCTGAGGCAGGAGAATTGCTTAAATCCAGGAGGCGGAGGTTGCAGTGAGCCGAGATCATGCCATTGCACTCCAGTCTGGGTAACAACAGTGAAACTTCGTCTTTAAAGCTGGTCTCAAACTCCTGGGCTCAAATCCTTCTACCTCAGCCTCCCAAAATGCTGACATTATGGGTTTGAAACTTCTCTTCCCTTGGTCAGGCACACTGCGGCTCACGTCGGTAATCCCAGCACTTTGGGAGACTGAGGCGGGCGAATCACCTGAGGTCAGGAGTTTGAGACAAGCCTGACTAACATGGCAAAATCCTGTCTCTACTAAAAACACAAAAATTAGCCAGGCACTGTGGCTCACGCCTGTAATCCCAGCACTTTGGGAGACTGAGGCGGGCGAATCACCTGAGGTCAGGAGTTTGAGACAAGCCTGACTAACATGGCAAAATCCTGTCTCTACTAAAAACACAAAAATTAGCCAGGCACTGTGGCTCACGCCTGTAATCCCAGCACTTTGGGAGGAAAAGGTAGACAGATCACCTGAGGTCGGGAGTTCAAGACCAGCCTGACCAACATGGTGAAACCCTGTCTCTACTAAAATTACAAAATTAGCCAGGCATGGTAGTATATGCCTACAATCCCAGCTACTTGGGAGGCTGAGGCAGGAGAATTGCTTGAACCTGGGAGGCAGAGGTTGCAGCGAGCCAAGATCATGCCATTGCACTCCACCCTGGGCAACAAGAGTGAAACTGTTTCAAAAAAAAAGAAAAAAAAAATACAAAAATTAGTCAGGTTAGCCAGGCATGATGGCAGTTACCTGTAATCCCAGCTACTTGGGAAGCCGAGGCAAGAGAATCACTTGAACCCAGGAGATGGAGGTTGCAGTGAGGTGAGATTACGCCATTGTATTCCAGCCTGGGTGACGGAGCAAGACTCCATCTCAAAAATGCCAAAACAAAATAAAATTAGCCAGCATGGTGGCACATGCCTGTAATCTCAGCTACTCGGCAGGCTGAGTCAGGAGAATTGCTTGAATCCAGGAGATGGAGGTTGCAGTGAGCTGAGATCACACCACTGAACTCCAACAAAAAACAAAAAAAAGAAAGAAACTTGACATTCCAGGCACCCCAGAAGCTCTCCAGGTCCCCAGCTGTCTTACAGACTTCTGTTCCTCTGCCTTCTCCCCTTCACTTGTAAATCTGGGTATCCCTTGAAGCTCCACCCTGAACTCCCTTGCCAGGAAAGCCTCCTCACCACCAGCTTCAGTGCCGCTTAATGCTGTCACAGCCTCCCAAACTCCATCCCCAACCCAAGGTCTCTCCCATGAGCCCCAGACTCAAGTTCTGCTCCTGGCTGCCCCTCAGGGCCTTAATAGTCCACCATATCCCAATTGAGCTTAGTGTCTTCCACCATATGAGGGATGGCCCTGCCGTCCCATCCAGTTCATTGAGCCAGACCCTTGGGCACTGTCCTTGCCCTCTTCTTGCCTCTCACCCTGAAAAGTCTTGGGTCCCCAAGTCCTGCTCCTCCTGTCCTTGAATCTATCTGGCTCATTCCCTCCTTTCCTGGTTCCAGGTCAGGCCTTGTCCTGTCTCACCTACTACATTGCCAGGTTCCTCCCTGACCTTCTGGCCTCCCCTCCATGTCTACAAGGGGGTCTTTCTGGCACCCAGAGCTGACACTGTCTCTCGCCTGCCCAGTTTTCTCTGAACTCCCCATCACACTCAGGAGACAGTCCAGTGTGACATTAGAGGACACAGCCCCCACCTGCCTCTCCCTCTTCCTTTTCCATCCCCTGCCCGCTACATTCTATGTCCTGGCCATAAATTACCATTCTTCATCCCCACAAGATTCTTGACCTTTCTGTGCATCCATCTTTGGTTCCCTCTGCCTGGATATTTCCTTTACTTGGCCCTTAAGAAGCCCCTAAACATTCTCTCTCCAGAGAAGTCATCTCCATCCCTCCACAATATGGTCAGTCTTGTTCCAGTGTCCTGCCTGCACTGGGCCTGCTGTCTGACCTGTATTAGCTGCTTCTGGTCTGTAAGTGCCTTCTCCCCACTGCCTCACAGACTGAGCCCGTGGTGGGCAGGGTCTGAGTCTGGCCCGTGCCTGTGTCCCCAGCATGGGGAAATATGCAAAGAGAACTGAGAGAGACTGAGTGCAAGGAAGGACCGAGTTCTGGCAAGGGGGATGAAATCAGAGAGGGAGAGAGAAGGAAAGAGAGCCGGCTAAAGGGAGAAAGACACCAGGAGAAAGAAAAGCACTGGAGAAGGGGAGAGACAGACACAGGTCAGGCCCTCTTGCTGGGCAGGAGCGCCCTGCAGGTGGTCGGCCTGGTGGGCCCTCACCTTCCCTGGGTGCCTGGCATCACCCACCATGGAGCTGGCAGACGGTTGGCTTATGTCTTGGCAGAATTAATCTCAAATAGCCAGATTCCAGCCAAATTTTGTTGAATGAATGAAGAAACAGGAGAAATGGCTGGGGAAGGGCGGGACCGATGTGGGACCAGACTTTCCGAGGCTCCAGATGAGGCCTTTGGAATACAGCAATCAAAACTCGTCTTGCTGTTCTGGCCTTCCACTCACAAGGTTTCATAGCCAGGCCTGGGGCTGCCACAGTGAGCACTTAGACTCAGGGAACCTGGGTGGTCAGAAAGAGTTTAAGCACTTGCCCCCTGCCCTCCATCCTCAGCGACCCCAGCTGGGCCCTCCCAAGCTCCCCAGGGCAGTGGGCAGGATAGTCACCTGTGCAGAGCAAGAAGATAGCTGAGACCCAGCCCAGGTAGAAGGACCAGGAGAAGAAGGTCTGGACCTGGGGGTTTCGAGGCTGATCCCACCGCTCGCTGGTATACACCGCCATGGCCACCAGCATGGAGAGGGCTGGAGACAAGGACAAGAAAGATGGTTCAGTCCCTCGGCAGGAATTTGCTGGCTCCCAATGCCCCAGTGCACTTCAGAGTCCTTACCTGCAGCAAAGGCTGTGATGGTTGAGATAAGGGGGCCTCGGCCAGGAGCAGACAATGAGGGGATGCAGGACAGGACCAGGAAGCTCACAGACACCAGGGCCCACAGGGCAGCCAGGATGCTGAAGCTCTGCGTCACGTGGATGTAGCCTGATCACGGGGAGACCACTGAGCAACCGTCTCCTCTGGCAACCCTCCCCCACCCCAGGACACCCCCTCCCCTTACCTGCTACGGGGTCCCCATGCTCATTTGGCCAGAGGCCCGAGTGAGCTGAGAAGGTGGGACCCTCAGCCACAAACCAGAAGTCGGTGCTCAAAGCAATCAGGCAGAAAATCAGGCCCAGGGAGCCCGTAAGCAGGGCTAGGGACCGGAAGGGCTCCATGGGGGTAAGCTCGGGGCTTCTGGGTCCTGAGGGAGGAAGAGGCTGCTGATCGGACTGGAATCTCAGAGAGGAGGAAGCTGTACACCTGGAGGCTGTGCACCTGGACTCCTGGGTCCTCTGAGCTCAAGAAAGAGCGACCAGGAAGCAGTCTTGGGGCAGCAAGGGGTCCTGTGCTTTGTCAAATGAGGCTGGTTTGGTTTCACACAGTTCCCGGTAGCTGACTCTTTTCACATACCCTCCCTTCCTGGATTGCACAGGCAACGTCCTCCCTCCCCTCCCCGGGGTCCGGTTCCCTCCTTCATGTGTGGTGGGGGAGGACACGGAGGGTGTCAGATCGTCAGTGGTTTGGGTGGTGGTTTAGAACTTGCCTCTGTCACTATGACTTGTCACAGGTCCTATGACTCCCACCTGTGGAGCCCTCAACACCAAGTGTGGGCTTCCAGGAAGAGGTGAGAGAGAGAAAGAGGCTTGGGGGCCCTGAGGTGGGAGGAAGCCAGCCAGGCTAGAGTGTGTGTTAAGTGGGTGGGGAGATGTGGCCAGAGGGGACAGTTGGGGATGTGTCATGCTTTCCTGTGGGTTCTGCAGTCTTCCATTCTGGGAGGGGAAGGCCCCAAGTCTAGGGTCTCTGCTAAAGGAGGGGGCTTGGGAGTTAGAACTCCTGGGGCTTAAGGAAGAAGGAACTGGGGGCCTGAACTCCAGGTCCTGAGGGAGGAAGGAGCGGGCAGAAGCTCAGAATCCTGGGCCCGTTTGGAACATATGCTAAGGGCAGGTAAACAGCAGAGATTCACAATTCTGAAAGGTTTGCAGAGTTGCAGACATGCCCACATCTTCATCTGATTAATGAATTCAGTGGCATCTCTGCTTGGGTGGGCCTGGTGGCCTTTAATCACCAGGACTGGGGGCTTAGGGGTTGTTGGGGGACATAAGGACTCCAGTCCAGGGTTCTCCAGCCCTCCAAACGCTAGCTTCTTCCATCCACACCAACATCAGGTCCTGGCGACATTCACCCGTGAGCAGGTATAAGGTGAAGGTGCCACAGCCCAGGAAGAAGGCCCAGAAAAACCTGACCTCTGTGAAACAGGGTGATATGGTTAGGCTTTGTGTCCCTACCCAAATCTCATCTTGAATTGTATCCCCGTAATTCATGTGTGTCTAGGTGGAGAACGTGTGGAGGTAATTGAATCATGGGATGGCTTCCCCGTGCTGTTCTCATGCTAGTGAGTGGTTCTCACAGGGCATGATGGTTTTACAAGGGGCTCCTCCTGCCTTCGCTTGACACGTCTTCCTGCCACCCTCTGAAGAAGGTGCCTGCTTCCCCTTCACCTCCCACCATGACTGTAAGTTTCCTGAGGCCTCCCCAGCCATGCAGAACTATGAATCAATTAAACCTCTTTCCTTTACAAATTATCCAGTCTCAGGCAGTTTTTTTTTTTTTTTTTTTGCACCATCATGCCCGGCTAATTTTGTATTTTTAGTAGAGGCAGGGTTTCTCCATGTTGGCAGTTCTTTTTTTGAGGGGAGTGGATGGAGTCTTGCTCTGTAGCCTGGAGTGCAGTGGCACAATCTTGGCTCACTGCAACCTCTGCCTCCCTGGGTCCTGGTTCAAGCAATTCTCCTACCTCAGCCTCCCAAGTAGCTGGGATTACAGTCACAAACCACCATGCCCAGCTAATTTTTGTATTTTTTAGTAAAGACAGGGTTTCACCGTGTTGGCTAGTCTGGTCTTGAACTCCTGACCTCGTGATCTGCCCGCGTTGGCCTCCCAAAGTGCTGGGATTACAAGCGTGAGCCACTGCACCCAGCCAGGCAGTTCTTGATATCAGTGTGAGAATGGACTAAAACAGGGAGCAGCCTGGAAGAAGACCTCTGTGGTGAAGATGAACTGGGCCAGCAGTCCCAGGACAGCCGGCAAATGCGGAGAATGGGAAATGACCTGGGAGGCCGAGTCCTCTCCTGTATGAGAGAGACTCCAATTGGCAGCCCTCATCCCTCACTCACATCTGCACCACTCTGAGAACACATTAATGAGTACAAACTCCCAGAGGTGGCAGAGGCCATGAGCGGGCCAGGTGTCCGGAAAGGCTTCCAGAAATCTGCCATGGTGTGCAGTGAGTAGTCAGAGAACACAGCTCATCTGTGACCCTGACCCCCTCCCAAACCCAAAGCCATCCATAACCGCAGCTTTAACCCCAAACCCAACTCCATCCCAAACTCAGTCTCAAGTCCAGTTCCAAGCACAAATTCAAACCATCCCTATCCCCAGAGTTAACCCTATTCCCATTCTCGAACACAACTCCAAACCGAATCCCATCCCTGTTAGTAATCTCCACCCCAGCTTTGACCCCTCATTTAAGCCCATCCCCGTCTCAAATAGAACTCCATTCTCAGTCCCAACTACACCCTCCACCCCATCCCCCAATTTGACCCCATTCCCAAACCTGATGCCATTCTAATTCCAAAACTCAACACCATCCTTAATCCCAGCTCCAACCCCTTCCTACCCTCAAATCTAACTCTATTCTCATTCTCAAACCCTACCCCATCTCCAAACCCAGCCCCTCTCCATTATTAACCCCAGACCCTACTCCAAATTCAACACTTTGGGAGGCGTAGGCAGGTGGATCACCTGAAGTCATGAGTTCAAGACCAGCCTGGCCAACATAGTGAAACCCCCCTCTCTACTAAAAATGCAAAAATTAGCTGGGCCTTGCGGCACATGCCTATAATCCCAGCTACTCAGGAGGCTGAGGCAGGAGAATCACTTGAACCCAGGAGGTGGCGGTTGCAGTGAGCTGAGATCGCACCACTGCACTCCAGCCTGGGCAACAGAGTTAGGCTCCATCTAAAAAAAAAAAAGAAGAAGAAAGTAAGAAAAACTCAAAAGAATGCAAGTATTTGTCTCTCACCTACCTGTGACCTGGAAGCCCCTCCCTGCTTGGAATTGTCCTTGACTTTTTGGACAAACCAATGTACTTCTTGCATATATTGATTGATGTCTCATGTCTCCCTAAAATGTATAAAACCAAGCTGTGCCCCGACCACCTTGGGCACATGTCGTCAGGACCTCCTGAGGCTGTGTCATGGACGAAAGTCTTCAACCTTGGCAAAATAAACTTTCTTTTTTTTTTTTTTTTACACGGAGTCTCACTCTGTTGCGAGACTGGAGTGGGGTGGCTCGATCTCAGCCCACTGCAACCTCCACCTCCTGGGTTCAAATAATTCTCCTGCCGCAGCCTCCTGAGTAGCTGGGATTACAGGCGCATGCCGCCACGCCCAGCTAATTTTTGTATTTTTAGTAGAGATGGGGTTTCACCATGTTGGCCAGGATGGTCTTGATCTCTTGACCTCATGATCCGCCAGCCTCACCTTCCCAAAGTATTGGGATTACAGATGTGAGCCACCCCACCCAGCCTAAACTTTCTAATTAACTGAGACCTGCCTCAGATTTTTGGGGTTCATAGCTCATGTCACCTGCTTGGCCACACAGTTCAAAATGTTGGTTTTCTTAGGTCTCTATCAGTCTTGTCTAAGCACTGTCAGTTTTTTTTTTAATCACCTCAGGTCTCTTTCAACTTTCTCCAGCCCCTTCCAACCTCTCCTGGGCTTGAAAGCTCCTCAGTAGTCCCCATCAGCCACGGAAGACCCCTGTGGGGGTCACTCCAAGGGGCTCTGCTGTTTCTGAGGTTCTGCCCAGCCCTGAGGCCCACCCTGAACACCCAGAGAGCAGGTCTATATTCTGTTGCTGCTGGTTCTGTCTTCAGTGTTGCTGTCTTCACCCTGCAGTCCCAGGACTCCACACCAGTCTTGGACCCTCTGTCCACATCTGTATCCCAGTGATTATTTCTTGGACCCTCTTTTTCTTGGCCTGATCCAAACTTTCTCTTCTTCTCCCACTTCCCTTGTGTTCTTTCTGACCTCAAGAACTTGAAGGCAGAAACAAGATCTGATTAATTTGGGTCCCCCCAATTAATTTGAGTATAGAGCATTACACAAATCAGATAAGACTTTCATCCTCAGCCAGGTGTGGTGGTTCACACCTGTAGTCCCACCACTTTGGGAGGTTGAGGTGGGTGGATCACTTGAGGTCAGGAGTTCGAGACCAGCCTGACCAACATGGCGAAACCCTATCTCTACCAAAAATACAAAAAAAAAAATTAGCTGGGTGTGGTGGCATGCACCTGTAATCCCATTTACTCAGGAGGCTGAGGCAGGAGAATTGCTTGAATCCAGGAGGTGGAGGTTGTAGTGAGCCAAGACTGCACACTGTATTCAAGCCTGGGTGACAGAGCAAGACACCAACTCAAAAAAACAAAAGACTAATTTTCAATGAACCTACATTCTATTAAAGAAATGAATGATAATGATAAGCAGTTTTTTTTGTTTTTTTTTTTTTTTTTGAGAGGGAGTTCCGCTCTTGTTACCCAGGCTGGAGTGCAATGGCATGATCTCAGCTCACCGCAACCTCCGCCTCCTGGCTTCAGGCAATTCTCCTGCCTCAGCCTCCCGAGTGCTGGGGTTACAGGCACGCGCCACCATGCCCAGCTAATTTTTTGTATTTTTAGTAGAGACGGGGTTTCACCATGTTGACCAGGGTGGTCTCAATCTCTTGACCTTGTGATCCACCCGCCTCGGCCTCCCAGAGTGTTGGGATTACAGGCGTGAGCCACCGCGCCTGGCCGGTAAGCAGTTATTATGGAAGGCATCATCATTTCTTTTGAGGCCCACTCTAGTCATAATATTTAATGGCTATTATTGTAATGATAAAAATATATTAAATCTCAGTATCACTAGAGTACATCCCAATGAATAATACTTCATGTAAGCCAACAAACAGCACTATCAATTGGCCTGAATAAATATTTATTGTTCAACAAATGTCCTTTTGAGTGATTCCCCTGTGCCAGGTGCTGTCTCTGAGGATCTACAGGAAACCAAAAGCAGACACAGATTGGCTGGGGCGCCTCATGCCTGTGATCCCAGCACTTTAGGAGGCTGAGGTGGGAGGATCACTTGAGACCAGAAGATCGAGACCAGTCTGGGCAACATAAGGATACCCGTCTCTCCAAAAGAGTAAAAAAGTTACCCAAGCATGGTGGTGCATGCCTATGGTCCCAGCTGCTCAGGAGGCTAAGGTGGGAGCCTCGCTTGAGCCTGGGAGGTGGAGGCTGCAGTGAGCTGTGATTACGCCACTGCACTGTAGCCTGGGTGAGAGTGAGAACCTGTTTCAAAAAAAAAAAAGAGCCGACATTGAATCCCAAAGTTGGTGGCTTGAGCAGCTGGAGAAAAATGGGTTGTCATTTCCTAAGCTGGGGAGGACCATGGGAGGCACACATGGGGTGTGTGTGAGATCAGGAACCTATTTTTGGATATGCGAGATTTGAGATGCCTCTTCAAGTGGAAATGTTGAGTAAGTAAGTAGGTTGAGTAGGTAAGTTGGAAACATGAGTCTGGAGTTATAATTATATCATTATTGCTAGAGTAAGCCCCTATAAATATGATTACTAGAATAAGGCTCAGTAAATATTTCTATTTAAATAGGCCTCGATACATTCTTAAAGAAAGCTTCAATGGCCATTGTTATTAGAGAAAGCCTCTATAAATACAGTAACATTTTTATTTGAGGATGCCCCAGTAAGTATTATTTTAGGGAATAAGCCTCTATAAACGTAACATTTATTAGCATAGCTGTAGTAAATAGTCTCATTATTAGAATCAGCCTTGTGAAATGGCCTTATTTTATGATAGACATCAGTAAATCTCATGGCAGTTGGCAACCATTTATTTTACTTTGCTTTTTAATTTTTTTATTTTGAGACACTTTTACCCTCACTCAGGCTGGAGTGCAATGTTGCAATCACAGCCCACTGCAACCTCAACCTCCTGGGCTCAAGCAACCCTCCCACCTCAACTTCCTGAGAAGCTGGGACAGGCACACACCAACATGCCCAGCTAATTTTTTTTCATAGAGATGGGTTTTGTCATGTTGCCTGGGGAACTCCTGGGCTTGATTAATCCACCTGCCTTGGTTTTCCATAGTGCTGGGATGACAGGTGTGAGACACCGAACCCAGCCAGCATCAATCAATAGAATGAACCACTAATGAGTGAATGAAGAGAAGATCACAGTGAGGAATACTGTGTGAAGAGTAGGTGCAGAAGGTGAAGGCTCAGGGTTCTGGTGTTTCCTTTGGGGGGCCCATGCGGGGAGGAGAGAGGAGGCTGGGGAGAGCCAACTGCAGGTAGGGTGGGCAGGGAGTTTTCTTCAGAGATCTTTTCATTTGTCCAATTATCTTACACATTCATATCCTGAAGTTGAAGTGTGGTTAGCTTCTGGGCAGGGACTGTGTGATTTAGCTCTGTTTCCCTCCCTGGAGAAACTGAGAAGCTCGGACCTCCATAATACAGCACCCCTTGGCTGGGCACGGTGGCTCACGCCTGTAAACCCAGCACTTTGGGAGGCCGAGGTGGGTGGGTCACCTGAGGTCAGGAATTCTAGACCATCCCGGCCAACATGGTGAAATCCCGTCTCTACTAAAAATACAAAAATTAGCCAGGTGTAGGGGTGGGCCCCTGTAATCCCAGCTACTTGGGAGGCTGAGGCAGGAGAACCACTTGAACCCAGGAGGCGGAGGTTGCAGTGAGCTGAGATCAAGGCATTGCACTCCAGCCTGGGTGACAAGAGTGAAACTCTGTCTCAAAACAATGACAGCAACAACACCCACAAAAACAGCACCCCTGCCCACACCCACCACTCTCACAGCTGTTCCTCCCATCCCAGTCCCTCAAGGATGAGCACTTGAGTAGTTTCACATCAGTTTTATTCGACCCCAGAAAGTTGCTCTAATGGAGATTCCATTTTTCTAACAACCTGCCAGGCAGATGGGGACTTGAGTCCTCTCAGCTCCCTCCCACAGGCCCCCTTCTTCCTCCTTCTAGCTTAGGACGAGGAGTCAGCCTCCCACCCAACCCAGAGTCCAGAACTGACCCCTTCATTCCCCTAGGAACCAGGATTTCAGGCCTCTAGACCCTCCTCCTCCTCTTCAGTGGCCTCACTTTAACTTCCAGATGAAGTTGGGGGGGACACAATCGGGCTTAGTGGGGTGTAGACAGGCGCCGACATTCATGCATCCGGTAGGCGCACATGTAGAAAATCCCTGCATGAGAAAAAGTTACAGTTGACCCCCAAAACTCCTCCCAGCCCCATTTCCACCCCAAGAGAGCCCAACACTCTATTCCCTTTCTCCCTGGGTATCCACAGCCCCCAGACTCCAGAGGCCTGGAGTCTCGTCCTGACCCAGTGCTGTGGGACCCAGGTGAGACACCCTATCATCTTGCTACTGGATCTGCTGCCCATCCTGCCCCGGACACTGACCTTCCTGCCCCTTGTCCCCAGTACCTGCAAAGAAGGTCATGAGCACTGCCACCCAGCCCAGGATGTAGGACCAGGAAAAGCGCCAATCCCCAAAGCGGCGGCCCAGGAAGCTGACGGTGACTCCAGTGTAGATGCCCAAGGCCAACAAGACAAAAAGGGCTGGGGAGAGAGGGCGGTAGGACACAGGTGGGACTAAGGCTGGGTGTGGTTTTGGAGACCGGCAGGGAACTAACGATGGGGGTGGGGAGTAAGATTAGGGAAAGGGGTCGAAGTAAGTTGTGGATGAGGATAAGAGTGAGGATGGGGGTTGAGTTGAAAGTAGGGGTAGGCCGGGCGCAGTGGCTCACGCCTGTAATCCCAGCACTTTGGGAGGCCGAGGCGAGTGGATCTCGAGGTCAAGAGATCGAGACCATCCTGGTCAACATGGTAAAACCCTGTCTCTACTAAAAACACAAAAAATAGCTGGGCATGGTGGCACATGCCTGTAATTCCAGCTACTCAGGAGGCTGAGGCAGGAGAATTGCCTGAACCCAGGAGGTGGAGGCTGTGGTGAGCCGAGATCCCACCATTGCACTCCAGCCTGGGTAACAAGAGCGAAACTCCGTCTCAAAAAAAAAAAAAAAAAAAAGAAAGCAGGGGTAAAGATGATTGGGGGATAGGGTTGGGATGGGGTTTCTGCTTTGTATTATAACTGGCCATTGTCTCTGGTTCCTGGGAGGGAGAATCCATATTTGGAACTTCCTGAATAATAGGAGCATCTTTGTTATTCTTGAGCCTCTTGGGCCCAACCTGAATTTATGTAATGAATGAGATGACTCAGCGTTGGGTGTGATCTTCAGAAAGACCAACCAGGCCGGACACAGTGGCTAATACCTGTAATCCCAGCGCACTCTGGGAGGCTGAGTCGGGCGGATCCCAAGGTCAGGAGTTCCAGACCAGCCTGGCCAACATGGTGAAACCCGATGTCTACCAAAAATACAAAAACTGGCCTTGAGTGGTGGCAGGCGCCTGTAGTCCCAGCTATTTGGGAGACCGAGGCAGGAGAATTGCTTGAACCCAGGAGGTGAAGGTTGCAGTGAGCTGAGATCATGCCACTGTACTCCAGCCTGGGCCACAGAATGAGAATCTGTCTCAAAAATAGCAAAGTATCTCACTTGAGTGAGTTAAAAATAAAAATAAAAAATAACAAAGAAACCCAAAAATTAGCTGGGTATGGTGGTGGACACCTGTAATCCCAGTTACTCAGGAGGCTGAGACAGGAGAATCACTTGAACCTGGGAGGTGGATGTTGCAGTGAGCTGAGATCACAGCACTGCACTCCGGCCTGGGTGACAGATCGAGACCCCATCTCAAAAAAGGAAAAGGAAGGCAGGCAGGCAGGAAGAAAGGAAGGAAGGGGAAGGGACGGAGGGAGGGAGGGAGGGAGGGAGGGAGGCCAACCACGATGTTAGAGGGTTGGGACTCTGAACCACTTGATATGGGGAAGAAAGGAACCTGGAAACTGAGTTCAATCACTGGCTAATGATTCAATCAGTCATGCCTGTTTAACAAGACTCCAATAAAAACCTCTGGATACCGAAGCTCAGTGGGGCCCCCCATTGGTGAAACCATCTGTGTGCTGGGAGGGTGACCCCTGGTTCCACAGGAAGAGGGCTTGGAAGCTCTGCATTTTGGCCTTTCCTAGACTCTGCCCTCTGTGTCTCTTCATTTGCCTGGGCCTGAGTTGTGTCCTCTATCATGGAACCATCATTGTAAGTATCGCACTTCCAGCAAATTTTTGAATCTGAGTGGGTCTTGGGAGCCAATGGATCAAACACATGGGTGGCCCAGGGACCCCACTGGCAGCTTGTATCTGAGGTGGAGGCATCTTGCTAGGGACTGTGCTCTTAACCTTTGGAGTCTGACACTAATTTTAGGTGAATAGTACCAGAACTGAACTGTAGAACACCAGCTGGTGTCGGAATAGACTGGAACTAGTCATGAGGTTGGTTTTGGGTGTGGGGTTGGGATTAGGGTGGGGTGGGACTGAGTGTGAGGAGGAGTAAGGGGTGAGAACGGTGTTGAGGGGTGGGGACAGATTGGGGTTTGAGATGAGAGTAAGGAGAGGGATAGGGAGAGGGTGGGCTTACTCACTTGAGGCAAAAAACACGATGCCAGCAGAGAAGGGCCGGGAGATTCGGGAGAAGGTAGGCTGCTGAGCGAACGCCATGATGCCCATGATGATGCCAGAGGTGGCGCATAGGGCGGACAGGATCATGAAGGCCCGAGTGGCATTCCAGTATGCTGTGAGGGCACCCCATGGTCACTCCCATGCCTCCGCTGCTCCAAGTAAGATCTGCTGCTCCCTCTAAGATGAAAATGCCTTGCCCCTTTCTATATTCCTAACCCAGCTTGTCCTTCCCTTCTTTGTAAATGCCCTCTTCTTCACCTGGCAAACTCCTACTTATACTCCAAAGCCGAGCTGCCAAGACCCCTCCTCTAGGGAGGATCTACCCACCCCTCAGTCATTATCTTCACCCATGGCTAAGGCTTGTGACTCTGTCTGTCTCTCCCTCCAGCCTGATAGCTCCTTGAGGACAGGCACTGGGTTGGTTCTGTGTCACAAACACCCCACCACACATTTGGTTTGCATTCTGGCCTCAGGAAATGTTTGTTGAATGAATGAATGAATGGTGATTCCCTATGTTTTTCTGCTAATTACTATTCTCTCTCTCTCTCTCTCTCTTTTTTTAGAGACTGAGTCTTGCTCTCACTTGGGCAGCACATATACTAAAATTGGAACAATACAGAGAAGATTAGCACGGCCCCTGCGCAAGGATGACACGCAGATTCCCAAAGTGTTCCATATTTTTTTTAATTAAAAAAAAAATAAATAAATAAAAATAAAAAAGGGACTGAGTCTCCCTCTGTCACCCAAGCTGAAATGCAGTGGCACAATCTCTGCGCACTGCAGCCTCCGCCTCCGGAGTTCAAGCAGTTCTCCTGCCTCAGGTCCGGAGTAGCTGGGAGTATAGGTGTGTGCCACCATGCCCAGATATTTTTTGTGTTTCTAGTAGAGACAGGGTTTCACCACTGGTCAGGAGGATCACCTGAGGTCAGGAGTTCAAGATCAGCCTGGCCAACATGGTGAAACCTCATCTCTAATAAAAATACAAAAATTAGCCAGGTGTGATGGCAGGCACCCGTAATCCCAGCTACTGGGGAAGCTGAGGCAGAAGAATCACTTGAACCCATGAGGTGGAGGTTGCAGTGAGCCAAGATTGTGCCACTACACTCTAGCCTGGGCAACAGAGAAAGACTCCATCTCAAAACAAAAGAAAGCATAAAACAAAGAATGATGTCCTTATAAAAAGGGGAATCTGGACACAGACATGCTCTCAGGAAAAACGCCATGTGTGAGGAAGGTTGGAATCGGGATGGTGCATCTCCAAACCAAGGAATACCAAAGATTCCCAGAAAAATCACCAGTAGCCAGGGAGAGGGGGACATGGAACAGATTGTCCCTCACAGCCCTCAGAAGGGACTGATTCTGCCCACATCTTCATCTTGGGCTTTTGGCCTCCAGAACTGTGGGACAACACGTTGCTGTTTTCAAGCCACCCAGTCTGTGGGGCTTTGACATGGCAGCCCTGGCACGCTAATTCAGGCTGGTCATGGTGGCTCAGGCCTAGAATCCCAGCACTGTGGGAGGCCGAAGCAGGAAGATTGCTTGAGGCCAGGAGGGTTTTTAAAAGTATTTACATCTTATTATTATGTTTTGAGACAGGGTCTTACTCTGTCGCCCAGGCTAGAGTGTAGTGGCTCCATCTTAGCTCACTGCAACCTTGAACTTTCGGGCTCAAGTGATCCTCCCATTTCAGCCTCCTGGGCAGCTGGGGCCACAGGAGCACACCACCATGCCCAGCTAATTTTTTATTTTTTGTTGAGATGGGATATCCCTATGTTGCATAGGCTGGTCTCAAACTCCCGGGCTCAAGTGATCCTCCTACCTCAGCCTCCCGACGTGCTGGGATTACAGGCTGAGCCACCATGTCCATCCGAAGCCAGGAGTTCAAAACAAGATTGGGCAACACAGCGAGATGCTGTCTCCACAAAAATCAAATCAAATGAAATAATGAGGCTGAGTGCGGTGGCCCATGCCTGAAATCCCAGCACTTTGGAAGGCTGAGGCAGAGATCACCTGAGGTCGGCAGTTCAAGACCAGCCTGGCCAACATGATGAAACCCTGTCTTTACTAAAAATACAAAAATTAGCTGGGTGAGGTGGCGCATGTCTGCAGTCCCAGCTACTCAGGATGCTGAGGCAGGAGAATCACTTAAACCCAGAAAGAGGAGGTTGCGGTGAGCCAGAATTGCACCATCACACTCCAGCCTGGGTGACAATAGCGAAATTCCACCTCAATTAAAAAAAAAGAGGCTAGGCACAGTGGCTCATGCCTGTAATCCCAGCACTGTGGGAGGCCAAGGCAGGGGGATCATGAGGTCAAGAGATCGAGACCATTGTGGCCAACATGGTGAAACCTCATCTCTACTAAAAATATAAAAATTAGCTGGGCGTGGTGACACATGTCTGTAGTCCCAGCTATTCGGGAAGTGGAGGCAGGAAAATCACTTGAACCCAGGAGGCAGAGGTTGCAGTGAGCTGAAATCACACCATTGCACTCCAGCCTGGGTGAGAATAGTGAAACTCCATCTCAATTAAAACAAACAAACAAAAGAAATACTGAATACAGGTATCTCTGGGTGTTTAAGAGTCTGGAGGACTTATGGGGCACGTTACAGTTTATTTGTTTCCCATAGTTACGCTAAGAGTGAAAAATGCAAATGGCTTTGAGGCCTGGCTTCAGTTGTGATCAGGGCAGGGGATCTTGGGGGTCACAACCAGCTGGGGTGGAGGGAGGGATGAACTGGCCATGTGTGCCCCACATATTGATTGCCAGTGTACTGCCTATCAGTCTATCATCACAGAAAACTTTTCCTGTTCACATTGTCATGTGGTTTCTGTTTCTTGAAGGAAGCATCATAGCTGCTGCTCATACCCAGCTGACATGTGGTCCTTGTGGCATGAAAGTTCGGATTTTATTTTTTCCGAAAAGAGCTGCAAATCCAGATTTTTAGGTTAAAAACTCCAGATTTTTAAATACCAGCAACTGGCCAGGCACGGTGGCTCACTCCTATAATCAATCCGAGCACTTTGGGAGACTGAGGTGGGTGGATCACTTGAGGTCAGGAGTTCAAGACCAGCTTGGCCAACATGGTGAAACCCTGTCTCTGCTAAAAATACAGAAATTAGCTGGGCGTGGTGGGAAGTGCCTGTAATTCCAGCTATTTGGGAGGCTGAGGCAGGAGAGAATTGCTTGAACCTATGAGGCAGAAGTTGCAGTGAGCCGAGATCATGCCACTGCACTCCAGCCTGCATGACAGAGAAAGGCTCTGTCTCAAAAATAAATAAATAAAAAATATTCATTCATTCATTCATTCATTCATTAATAATATAGAATACATTGAGTATTACTACTAGTACTATTAATAATAATACCTGGCATTTATTGAGTGCTTACTATGCCCTACGTGCTATTCTAAGCACTTTACATGGATAATCTCCCTCCCATCTCCTAACAACACTAAGGGTAGTTCAGTTGTATGTAAGAATGAGACATGAGGCCAAGCACAGTGGCTCAGGCCTGTAATCCCAGTACTTTGGGAGGCCAAGGCAGGTGGATAACGAGGTCGGGGGTTCAAGACCAGCCTGACCAAGATGGTGAAACCCCATCTCTACTAAAAATACAAAAATTAGCCAGGCACAGTGACATGCACATGTAATCCCAGTTACTCAGGAGGCTGAGGCAGGAGAATCACTTGAACCCAGGAGGTGGAGGTTGCAATGAGCCGAGATTGTGCCACTGCACCTCAGCCTGGGTGACAGAGTGAGACTCTGTCTCAAAAAAAAAAAAAGAATGAGACATGAGATTTGACCTCAAAACTCACACATCCACTTGAGTAGTTGAGGGGAAGAGCTGAGCCCCACTGTGCTGGATGTGACAGGCACAGGAGACTTAGCCCACCCGTCTCACCAGGCAAAGCCTGAGAGAGAGGCAGTATGATCCCTGTTTCCTGGAGGGGTAGACTGAGGCAGGGAGAAGTGGAAAGGCTTGCCTGGAGCCACAAGCTTCAGAGTCAGGTCTGACTCCACACTTCCTTCTCATTTCTGGCTGTGTCACTCCGGACACCTCTACCTTTCTCCTGCCTCACACTGGGAATTCCCTGAGCGACAGCCCTGAGTCACCTGTCTTATCTCTCCCCAGGATGCAGGAGACAGGGAGGCTTGGTGAAGGTCTTCCGTTTTTTGTTTTCTTTTTTTTTTGTTTGTTTGTTGCTTTTTCCTTTTTTTCATTTTCCTTGTTTTTTGTTTTCTTTTTCTTTCTTTCATTTGTTTGTTCTTTCTTTCCCTCCCTCCCTCCCTTCCTTCCTTTCCTTCTTTCTTTCTTTCTTTTGACAGTCTTGCACTATTGTCCAGACTAGAGTGCAATGGTGCAATCTCGGCTCACTGGAACCTCTGCCTTCTGGGTTCAGGCAATTCTTCCTGCCTCAGCCTCCCGAGTAGTTGGAATTACAGGCGCCCACCACCACACCCGGCTAATTTTTGTATTTTTAATAGAGATGGGGTTTCACCATGTTGGCCAGGCTGGTCTTGAACTCCTGAACTCAGGTGATCCCCACCTTGGCCTCCCAAAGTGCTGGGATTACAGGCGTGAGCCACCATGAAGGCCTTCCGTTGGACAATATCACAACCACAAAACCGAAAACTTCAGGAACATGCCTCAGTCCTCTGGATTCTTGGGTATTTGTCAAAACAGCTGGCTTAATTTGCTCACCAACTGTAATTCACTCACCAAAATTAGAGCAGGAGCCTTAACTTGCTCCCCAGGGACCAAACCCAAGTGCAGATGGGTTTTATTGGGTCTGCTTGGTGTTTTTAAAGTTTCTGAATTAGTTGCCGGTATGTATGTATGTACGTATGTATGTATTTTGAGTTAGAGTCTCGCTCTGTGGCCCAGGTTAGAGTGTAGTGGCACAATCTCGGCTCACTGCAACCTCTGACTCCCAGGTTCAAGCGATTCTCTCCTACCTCGGCCAGGTTCAAGCAATTCTCTTGATGCCAACTGAACCCACTGCAACCTCCGCCTCCCAGGTTCAAGCAATTCTCCTGCCTCAGCCTCCTGTAATTCTCCTGGGATTACAGGTGCGCACCACCGTGCCCAGCTAATTTTTGTGTTTTTAGTAGAGACAGGGTTTCACCTTTTTTGCCAGGCTGATTTCAAACTCCTGACCTCAGGTGATCTGCCCACCTTGGCCTCCCAGAGTGCTGGGATTATAGGTGTGAGCCACCACGCCCGGCCAAATTTATTGACATATCATATAACAAGTGTACAATATAATATGCTCTACATTATATATTAATTTATTATAAAATATATTGTATAATATATACATTATTAATTTATTATACAAGACATAGCATAATATATGCTATCAGCTAATGAATATGTAATATAATGGATTCTACATTATATATTACATACAATATATTATATATGCATTATATAATATGTAGCATATTATATACAATATATTATGTATTAGTAATTTATTATATAATATAGGTGCATGTATATATACTATATTGTATATTGTTAATGTATATATGTAATAAGTGTGCTATAATATGCTCACATTATATATTACATTATATATTGCATATATTATACATTATGTTATATGTAATAATATAAATTGCATATATTATAATGTAGTATATATTCACTTATTAATATATTAGAGATGCTATGTAGCATGCGATATACTATATATCTCTATGTATCTCTCTCTATGGTCTGGAGCACCGTAAGTAGGAAAAAACACTTTACTCAGTATTTAGCAAATTCAGGGCCCATATTTCTTCTGTATCCCCCAGTACCTAACATAGTTCTTGGTCCATAGTAGATATTTGGAAAATGCTGCTCCGTGACAGTACCCCAACTGCTGTACATGACACCTTTGAGGCGTCAAAAAATGCCACCTCTCCCAGCTTAACCTCTAAACCAGCACCCCAATAACAGCAGCTAGAAAGCAACCCTGAAGTCCCAGTCCTGCCCCCCTCCATGCTGAGTGACCTTGGACTGCTCCCTTTCCCTCTTTGAGCCGCAGAGTTCTCCATCTGGAATACAGGTGTCCTTGGGCCCCGAGGTTCGCCCTGCTCTTTACCCAGGTGCGGCCTGGACCCTGGCCGGGGGGCTCACCGATGCTCTCTGTCTGCACGTAGCACTTGCTGCCCAGGCAGTACCGCCACAGGCCCTGGTGGGCGAAGGAGCCTGACAGCCGGTACTGCATCCAGTGGTCTGTTGCTGTGGCCACCACCAGGAGGATGGTCCCCACCCAGGCACAGAACAGGCCACCACCCATGAAGCTGTACATGGTGATCTGTGGGGAAGGGGAGAGATGGGGTTGGGAGCTGAATTCCTGGGACTTGATGGAGGAAGGAACCGGGGGAAGAGAGGGCTCGGGAATGGAATGCCGGGTGCCTGGGAGAAAGAGATGGAGACCTAGACGCCTGGGTCCTGGGAGAGGAGGGGACTGGGGGCCTGGACTCCTAGGTCTGAGGGAGGAGGATGGTAGGGATCCTGGAAAGATGAGAGGGAGGAGGGGCTGGATCCTTGGAGCCTTGCATCCTGAGAAAGAGAGGGCAGGGGCCAGGTTCAGAGCAAGGAATAGGCTGGAGGCCTAGATTCCTGAGTCCTAGGGGAGGAGGGGCCCAGGGACCTGGATTCCTGGGTGCTGGGTAAGGAAGGAGCTAGGAGATAGCAGGTGGGACATCAGGTCCTGGGAGAAGAAAGAGCTGGGGCTCCAGACTCCTGGGACTTGGGAAAGAGGGGGCTACAGCTCCCATGCCTGGTGCCTACCTGAGTGGCAGAGCCTGCCGAGCCCTCCTTCTGCCACAGCCCCTCTGTGCAGACTGAGCTGAGCCTGGGCACTGGCCTCTTGGCCCCCTTAGGTTCTCCTAATCCCTTAAGCCTCCCTATACAATGGTCCCACGACCCAGCAGCTTCCAGCAGGCAGAAATGCAGCGGTGGCAGAGGCCTCAAATGGAATTCGCTGAAGCAGGCATCCAGGGGGTTCCCTGCCCCCAACCGCTGCTCACTGACCTCTGTGAACCTCCCCTGGACACACTCCATTATCGCCAGCCTTGTTCACAGCAATCCTGGCTTTGGCCGAGCTGTGTAAGTGCGCATGCACACACAGACACAGACACACAAGATACAGGGACAATCACGTGTTTATTGTTCAACCAGGGCTTCCTACCTGAAGAGCAGGCAGTGGGGTCAGGGGGAGTCACAGGTGTCTGGATGTGTTGGACGAGTGGGCTTCTTTGTGGGGTGGCATCATGGGGCTATCACAGTTGGGGCTGGGACAGGAAGGAAGATGAGGATGGACAGAGTTGTGGCTGAGGTTGAGGATGGGGCTCTTCAGGGCTGTAGTTTCAGAGGACATTAAACATGGGCTGATGAGAAAGGGGTTGGTAACGAGGGTGGGTTTGGGTTGAGGCGCAGAAGCGGAGCTGGGATTGGGGACAGGGATGGGAATGAATGGACTTGGGAATAGGGTGTTGAGAGTGGGGAAAAGAGAGGCAGAGTGGCTTTGGACTTAGGAAGAGGGTAGGGGACAGGGTTGGAGGAGCACTGGGGGTCGCGAATCAGGCAAGGATTGTGATTGTGGTTGGGGATGGCACTGGGCATGGGGTTGAGGCCATCAAGGAGACAGGCCTGGCATGGCGTTCAAGGTTTTCTTCTGGCTTGGGATTCTAAGTCGAGTGACTTAGGTCAGGTTCACCAAGTGGCTCACAGGAACTATTCCTGGGACCATGGTTTGGGGGACAGAGAAGGATGGGAACAAGATGTTTCTTGGGGTTCTTCTGACAGAGCTGAGGTCACTCCGGGCTCCAGGGAAAGCCTCCTGGGTGACTGTGATACCAGGTGCTGGACCCTCTGGGATCCTAGTACTCTGTTTCCCAGTCCTCAGCAGCTGGTGGTGTTTCCAGGGGTGGATTTGGATCTTGAGCTTCCTTCTTCCCATCCTGGGCAGATGGTGTTGGTGGTGAGGGCAGCGTCATTGGCGGGGTCCTGGGGCCAGCCCCAAGGCCCCCCGCCCGGCCCCTTTCTGGCTGCTCAGCTCTCCCGGGACCCCATCGATGTGGGCCCCGGCCCCAGCCTGGCCTGTGCCTGACTTCCCAGCCCCCGCGTCCCCTTGAAGGCCTCCTGACTGTGCCTGGCTGGGTGTGGCCTGCCTGGGGATAGCAGGGGCAAGAGGGCAAGGACTGTTGGAGGGTGTAGACCCCAAGCAGGGCACTGTGCAGGAGGCAGGAGAGGGTGTCCAGGCGTATGGGCACGGTGACAGAGGCCACGCTCTCTGGGAGCCCCAGGTGGGTGGGGTCTGTGACGTCCAGGAGTGGCAGGGCTGGGACAGTTGAAGTGGTCCATGGCTCAGTCCCAGATGATGGCAGGGACAGGTTGTTCCTACAAAGGCAAAAAGACACATCAGTGGGACTCAGCCTCTCCTTACTTCCTTCCTTCTTGCTGCTGGGCTGTCTCTGGACCTCTGCCGAGAGTAGCCATCTCTCTCCATCCTCAGTGTCCCCCTGGGACTTCCTCACCCGCTTGTCTTTTTCTTTCTTTTTTTTTTTTTTTTGAGACGGAGTTTCACTCTTGTTACCCAGGCTGGAGTGCAATGGCGCAATCTCGGCTCACCGCAACCTCTGCCTCCTGGGTTCAGGCAATTCCCCTGCCTGAGCCTCCTGAGTAGCTGGGATTACAGGCACGTGCCACCATGCCCAGCTATTTTTTTTTTTTTTTATATTTTTAGTAGAGACGGGGTTTCACCATATTGACCAGGATGGTCTCGATCTCTTGACCTCGTGATCCACCCGCCTCGGCCTCCCAAAGTGCTGGGATTACAGGCTTGAGCCACCGCGCCCGGCCTTTTTCTTTCTAATCTGTATCTCTCTATAGAGAAACAAACAGCTCTGCCATTAACTTCAGCATCAGACAAGTCGGTTCCAATTTCTGGTTGCCTCGCTTATGGCGACGTATCTTTGGACAAGTCGTTTTCCTATTCCAAACCTTGTTTATCGCCACAGATGGCTCTGGGTGGTATCAAAGGTGGGTATGACAGGGCTGGGTCTGGTAAGTGCTAAAACAGTGGACAGCTACGATTTCTCTAGCCCTCTGGTGGTCCCTGGAGTCTTCACATTTCTTGGTGTATTCTTTAAAATGTCTGTTTGGGCCGGGTGCAGTGGCTCACGCCTCTAATCCTAGCACTCTGGGAGGCCGAGGTGGGCGGATCACCTGAAGTCAGGAGTTCGAGACCAGCCTGGCCAAGATGGTGAAACCCTGTTTCTACTCAAAATACAAAAATCAGCTGGGCCTGGTGTCACATGCCTGTAATCCCAGCTACTGGGGAGGCTGAGGCAGAAGAATCTCTTGAACCCGGGAGGTTGCAGTGAGCCAAGATCAGGTCACCGCCCTCCAGCCCGGGTGCAAGACAGTGTAAGACTCCATCTTGGGGGGGGAGGGCGGGGAACAAAATAAACAAAAAAAAATTTTCTGTCTGATGAGTATCCGTTTCTAGCTCTCCGCCTGTTTCTAAATATCTCGTTCAACTCTTTCACCAAGATTCTGTTTCTAGGACGGTACTTGGGACTTTTTTGTTTTTTCTGATTCTCTACGCGGGTCTGCTTAGCGCGCATTTCCCTCGGGTTTTCTCTATCTCCTCCTCTCTCTGGGTCTCTGTGCCCCTTCTCAGGAGGTCTTCGTTGGTCTCACCTTTCGGGCCCCGCCCCATCCTTCGGCTGTTCCATCTCCACTGTGATCCTTAGAAGTCTCTTCTAGCAACTTCGCCTCCGAGATCCTTCCAGGGCCCGGGAAGGTTGGGGAGTGGCCCAGGCCGAGAGAGGCGGGGCTTGGCCGGGTTCGAAACGGGGCGTGGCTCGCGGAGTGCTCCAGAACCCGGAAAGAAAGAGCGCAGGCCGGAACCTGGCTCTAGCTCCCCAGGACCGCTACCTCAGGCCTCCAGGCCCTCTTCAGCCCCTCCTCCCTTAGACCCAGGAGTCCAGATCCAGCTCCTCCCCACTCATACCCCAGAGTCCAGATCCCCAGCTCCTTCTCCTTCAGACCCAGGAGACCAGATCCAGCCCCTCCTCCCTTAGAACCAGGAGTCCAGATCCCCATCCAGCTCCTCCCCCCTCATACCCCAGAGTCCAGATCTCCAGCTCCTTCTCCTTCAGACCCAGGAGACCAGATCCAGCCCCTCCTCCCTTAGAACCAGGAGTCCAGATCCAGCTCCTCCCCACTCATACCCCAGAGTCCAGATCCCCAGCTCCTTCTCCTTCAGACCCAGGAGACCAGATCCAGCCCCTCCTCCCTTAGAACCAGGAGTCCAGATCCCCATCCAGCTCCTCCCCACTCATACCCCAGAGTCCAGATCTCCAGCTCCTTCTCCTTCAGACCCAGGAGACCAGATCCAGCCCCTCCTCCCTTAGAACCAGGAGTCCAGATCCCCATCCAGCTCCTCCCTACTCATACCCCAGAGTCCAGATCTCCAGCTCCTTCTCCTTCAGACCCAGGAGACCAGATCCAGCCCCTCCTCCCTTAGAACCAGGAGTCCAGATCCCCATCCAGCTCCTCCCCACTCATACCCCAGAGTCCAGATCTCCAGCTCCTTCTCCTTCAGACCCAGGAGACCAGATCCAGCCCCTCCTCCCTTAGAACCAGGAGTCCAGATCCCCATCCAGCTCCTCCCCCCTCAGACCCCAGAGTCCAGATCCCCAGCTCCTCCTCCTTCAGACCCAGGAGACCAGATCCAGCCCCTCCTCCCTTAGAACCAGGAGTCCAGATCCCCACCCAGCTCCTCCCCACTCAGACCCCAGAGTCCAGATCCCCAGCTCCTCCTCCTTCAGACCCAGGAGACCAGATCCAGTCCCTCCTCCCTTAGAACCAGGAGTCCAGATCCCCACCCAGCTCCTCCCCACTCAGACCCCAGAGTCCAGATCCCCAGCTCCTCCTCCTTCAGACCCAGGAGACCAGATCCAGCCCCTCCTCCCTTAGAACCAGCAGTCCAGATCCCCACCCAGCTCCTCCCCACTCATACCCCAGAGTCCAGATCCCCAGCTCCTTCTCCTTCAGACCCAGGAGTCCAGATCCAGCTCCTCCCTCAGACCCCAGAGTCCAGATCCCCAGCTCCTCCTCCCTCAGACCCAGGAGACCAGATCCAGCCCCTCCTCCCTTAGAACCAGGAGTCCAGATCCCCATCCAGCTCCTCCCCCTTCAGACCCCAGAGTCCAGATCCCCAGCTCCTCCTCCTTCAGACCCAGGAGACCAGATCCAGCCCCTCCTCCCTTAGAACCAGGAGTCCAGATCCCCATCCAGCTCCTCCCCACTCATACCCCAGAGTCCAGATCCCCAGCTCCTTCTCCTTCAGACCCAGGAGTCCGATCCAGCCCCTCCTCCCTTAGAACCAGCAGTCCAGATCCCCACCCAGCTCCTCCCCACTCAGACTGGAGTCCAGATCCCCAGCTCCTCCTCCTTCAGACCCAGGAGACCAGATCCAGCCCCTCCTCCCTTAGAACCAGGAGTCCAGATCCCCATCCAGCTCCTCCCCACTCAGACTGGAGTCCAGATCCCCAGCTCCTCCTCCTTCAGACCCAGGAGACCAGATCCAGCCCCTCCTCCCTTAGAACCAGGAGTCCAGATCCCCATCCAGCTCCTCCCCCCTCAGAGTCCAGATCCCCAGCTCCTCCTCCCTCAGGCCCGGGAGCCCAGGTTCCTCCAGCCCCTCTTCCCTCAGACCCCCGACTCTGGGTCCCCAGCCCCCTTCCTCTCTCAGATCCAGTAGTCCTGAGACCCTGGCCGCCTCCTCTCTCTCTCTCTGTCTCTATTCCTGCCATATCCTCAAGGCACATTCTTTAGGACTCAAGGGACATTTTAGGTAGGGAAATCTGGACATGTGGACACTCCCCAG